GTGTGTACCAACACACCCAGCTTCCTTCCTTTGCTTTGCTTTCTTTTAGCAAGGAAAATGACTTTATGTTAAAAAAAAAAAAAAAAGAAAAAAAAAGCCAGCTGGTCAGCAAGGTGGAAGTCTGTCTTGCTGGGAGGCTGACTTAGCGTTGGTCTGTCTAGGGGCTGATGGTTGCTCGGAGACCACGGGTTTTTTCTCACCAGGTGTGGGGTACCGTTGCACAACAGGGCCAGATGTTCTCCTGACCAAAGCCTTCTCACCAGATGCTTTGCAGTTTGGGCTTTGGGCTTACTTCTCCTGGAGCTGGACTCCATGTTCTTCTCATCTTGTATCAAAGAATGAGGGGCTGGGAAGATAACTCAGTGGAATAAGTGCTTGCCTGATAAGTGCAAGGCCCTGAGTTCAATCCTTCATACTGCAAAAAATAAAATAATTAATAAAAATAGAATGAAATGAGTAAAAACCAGAACAAAACAAAAAGTGGTGAAGAAGTTTATTTGAAAAAGTAAGAGGGGCTGGCGAGATAGCTCAGTGGACTAAGTACCTGCTTAGGCAAGCACAGGGTCCAGGGTTCGATTCCTGGCACCACGTGCCATGCTGGCCCCATCCCTGGGTGCATTGAGCTGGCAACAGAGACTGGATGTGGTGGTGCATACCTGTAATCCCAGCACTGGGGAGTCTGAAAATAGGATCACTATGAGTCCGAGCTGCATAGTGAGATCCTGTACCAAATACATGAAAAACAAAAAAGTGAAAGAGAAGCGTGAGGAAGGAACTGGCTCCTCAGAGCAAACTTGGGCTGAAAAGAAGAAAAAAAATAAAATTATGCTCTAGAGGACACAGCGGGTTACACAAGGAATGCACGATAGCCCTTTTTTTATTAAAAAAAAATTAAAGATAAAATAAGTTCACTCCAACAGAACATCAAGCATCCTGCTTTGTGTGTGATGCTGAACTTCAACTTAAATGATTAAGTGAATTTTGTCACCAAGAGAGAGGTAACTACTCATCTGTCTTTTTTTTTTCCCGGAACCAGTGATTGAACTCATGGCCCTTCACTTGCCAGACAAGTGCTTATTCTAATGAGCCATCTCCCTCGCCCCTAAAGGCAGACCTGAGACTTGAATCTATGACCTCTTGGCTGTAGAGCCTAATGTGTAAACTGCTATGCTATCTCTCCAGCTTCATCTGTCTTTAAGCACATATCTAATAAGAAAAGTGAAGTGATTTTGCACAAATAGTAACAATGAAGGTAAATGTGCCCACTTGTCATGTATTTTTGTGTCAATTCAATCTTTATAACAATCTCCTTGATATAATAATTTCTTTGTATGGAACTGGGGATTGAATTCAGGCTCTTGCGCTTGCCAGGGAAGCGCTTATTCTACTGAGCCATCTCCCTGGCCCCTAATAATTCTGATTTTAAAAATTTGAGGCTTAACTTTAAAAAATATGCCTAAGGTCATATAGTTTATTCTCAAATGGTGGGCTGTGGACTCCTGAGGGTCCCTGCACACCTTTAGGGAATGCCCTGGGAGGTCCAGACATTGAGAAGGTGGCTGGGTGTGGTGGTACATGCCTATAATTCTAGCACTCCAGAGACTGTTAGCTCAAGGCCAGCCTGGACTACAAAGTGTGTGCAAGGCCAGCCCAGACTGCACAGTGAAGCCCTGTCTCAAAAAGACAAAAAAATCAATCACGTTTGTCTGGCTGTGTAACGTAAGTGGATAGTTTTAAGGTGTAAATGTATGCATTTTCAGAAATTTAATTCACTTTGCCCTCAGCCCTTCCCCTTTGCCTTTGCTGGCTATTTTCATCTATATCTGTATGGGTGAAGTTGTGCCCTCCACAACGCCGGGGTTGAAACCCTGAGTGTGTCTTTAGAGATGGGCAGGGAGAGACGGGCCTGACTAGGTTAAAACAGGCTGCCGGGAGGCCTTGACCAATCCGGAGTCCTTTTTTTTTTTTTTGCAGAACTGGTGATTGAACTCAGGCCCTTGTGCTTGCCAGGCAAGTGCTTATTCTACTGAGCTATCCCTGGCCTCAGAGTCCTTTATAGAAGATGAAATATGGACATAAGACATGGGTGTGCCAGACCCATGTGCAAGGACACAGGGAGGTGGGGGCATCCACAAGTCAAGGACAGCAGATAGCCTTCCTGGTCCTCATCTTGGCTCAGGAGGTTTACATTTGTAATCCCATAGAAAAATTATTGGAATTCTAGTGAGTTAATTCCAACCTGTCACTTTCAGTGCAACCCATGATGAGAATAAATCCGCTAAGGCATATCTGTAGTTATGGGGAGCCCAGGGGTCCTAAGTCCTGCCATGAGAATGGCTATCTGGAACAAAGGCCTTGACCCAGGACTGAACCCAAGTTTTATGAATTTGTGAAGAAAGGAGAGGCTTGGGTATGAGTGATGGTAATGGTGGGAAGTAGGTGAATGCCATGAGCTGGGCTGGGTGTGATGTGGCCTCTGTGGAGGGGAATATGTAGAAAGCGCTCTCCATCCCACCTCGCCCCTCTCACACGTGGGGGTGGGGCTGGGAAACACTGCCCTGTCCTCTTTGCTTCAAAGAGGACACATTTGTACCTTGGCTGGACCGAGATGCATTGCTTAGAGCTGATTGAATGATTGGATAAGGAAAAGTCCTAGCCAGCTCTGTACATATCAATACATAGAAATAGGGTCATGTTGAGAAAAAATGGAGAGGATCGCTCCTCCTCCAAGGAGAGTCACCCAGACGGTCTTCCACAACAGCAGCTGCAGGAGAGACCAAACCTTCTAACGCTAGGGTCTTGAATACAGTACTGACCTCCAGAATTGTGAGAAAGTAAATTGCAATTGTTGAGTGGTCTGATCATCCTTTAGGTGGTAGTCCTGACAACCATGTATCCTGCTGTCATGCAGAATCTGGTAGGAGAATAGGTCTGGCTCCCGCTAAACCAGGAATGGAGATTTGTGAAAAGACAATACGGTCTCATGCTCTCATGGGGGTGGGATAT